TATCGAGAAATAGTTTTAATATTGAAAATCTTTGTAATATCTTTAAAATATATTGTCATATTTATTTATAAAGTTTAAAGATTCAAAAATAGAGATCGACAAATCGATGAAAATTGCACAAAAAAAAATGATAGTCAATGAGACCCATTTATTGAAAAGAAAACATCAACATAGTGGGTTTGGTTTTACATGATCAAGACGAATCTTTCCTAATAAGACGAATCTTTCCTAATTCCTTGCTATCATGTGATGTCCTTCCCCCCTTAAACAATCATTTTATAAGAAACAACTAACCAACACAATAATGTTTAACTCATCGGTATCACATATCAAAACCTATCAAAACCTCACAAGAAATTATTTTAAATCATTATCATTATTATCCGAATATTATTTCAACTATTTGGAGTTGACTACACAAATCATGTTGTGCTATCATGTGGTATCAAAGATCATACCCTCGGTTACACTAAAGGTTGCAATATCTCTTTTCACAGCTATCTACAAATCATTTTCCATAATAAATCATTTTATCTATTGACTTTACTCTTTGGGAATTTTGATGCAAGATTTGGGACTTTAGAGGCACCCCACCAGTTTCAGTCACCACTTTACAATATTACATGACTGTGTAGTTATTTATTTTTGCCAAGAGATTATATGCTCCCTCAGGAGCAAACTTACATTCACTCCCTCAATAAAATCCTAGCTAGGAGTATATCTAGGATACTAAATTTTGGTAATTCACTCCCTAGACTTGACCGATTCCAGTGTGTCTCCAATGCATCATAATATTTTCTAGAAATATAAATAAATAAACGAAAAATTTGATATAAGAGTGAGGCCCTTAGCCATCAAATTAAGGGGCACCTCAAAAATTCATTGGAAGAGGTTGTTTTGATGCTGAAAAATCCTCAATTGGATCATCTCGACCTCAAGATGTATGGACATGAGAAAAACTCATTTTCAAATATTGAAAATGGTGCATCATGTAATATATTATCTGGACTGTCAATTTTCATATTTTCAAGTATTCATAGATTTGTTCAATCAACACTATTTTTTAATCTTTAAAGTTTACAAGTAGATGAAAATAAATTTATAGGCCATCAAAAAGATTTATTTAAGGGTGCACCTTACTTTGAATCGTTTACCCATAAATAAAATACACACTATGCATCAGCCCAAAAAACAATGTTTAGGAATTTTTAGACGGCAAGATCTAAGTATTTAGGAGTTTTTTTTTTTTTAGACAATGCTCATCTCGTAAGTCTAAATAGATCTCAAAACTTTCCCGTTAAATAATTTTTTGTGCTTGAATTTGCCCGAAGGGGTAAATGGTATAGAGTGCTCCCGCATAAGTAATATCTGTCCCTTTCCATTTTGCGGCCACTATTGGTAACCCTAAAGAGATGCTGCGTATTGGAGGGAAATGGGAACCAACTTTGCACCATTGATTATTGAGGAACACCTAATGGCGATGACAATCACAAGTGTAAGTGATGGGATGGCGTGTCTTGTCTGATCTGATGAGAACTCTGAATGAGAACAATGTATGTGAGTCCAAAGCCAACGCGTCACTCTTCGATCCCAAGGAAAAACCCCTGTCAAGCCGAGCTGGCTTTCTTTGTTACTGTCCAAAAATACAAAACCACCATAACTGGAGAGAGAGATTATGTGGACCATGGAGTCAACTTACCCTCCATGCTTCTTACTTCTTGGTGAGTACCGCTTGCCAGCAAAGACCCTCCTCTCTTTGTCTTGAGTCTTGACTATATAAGTGGCTTCTTCTCTCAATCTCTCTCTTGATTATTCGGGGTATTCCAATGGCAACAGTTCTGTCTCCTCTTCTTCTTCTTCTTCATGTTTTATCGTCACTCTTTCTCTCTCTTCATGTCTTTGTCTGTCTTCATACGGTGGCCGCTGCTCGAGTGAGGAACCTGCCTGAAGTGGGGTCGATTATAAGCCGTAGTTTGCTTGACAATGGTCTTGGATTAACTCCTCCTATGGGGTAGGCTTTTTTTCTGTTTTCCTCTCTCCCTCTCTCTTCATTCTCATATTAACATTCATTCATTCTCTCTCTCTCTCTCTCTCTCTCTTGATGGCCATATTAGTATTGCTTTCCTTCTCTCTCTTGGATGCTCATATTAACATTGGTTTCTCCCTCTCAAACATGCTTATGGCCGGGTGGTGCAGCAAATCTTTATAATGGGAGTTATTTATTGAAAAATTATCGTAAATATATTTTAATTTTTATCAAATTTAAAAAAAAAAAAATTCAACTTTCGTAAACTTCATCCACACTTTTTTTTCTCAATTTTGATATTTAAAATATTTGGAGTTATCACGGAATCTAAAATACCGTATAAAATAGGGAGCCATTACGGGTACTTAATATACTTAATGTTAGAGCTTCACAATAATACGACTACTGTGATGGCTATTTTGATAAAAAATAAAAATAAAAATTAAAAATTAAAAAAAAAAGCTATTTTGTTCGAGCACTTGCTATTATTGACAAGCACCATTGTTCGTAAAATCGCCCAATATAACCACTAACTGCTCAGTTAGATCGAAACTGGCCAGTGGCCGATTCCGGCTTTGGGCAATTAGAGTGATAGACCGGTATTTATAAAAAAAAAATAAAAAAAATGTATATAAATTCTCAAAAATAAAAAACTTGATTTTCAATGCATTTTTAAATATTCTATATGTCTTAGTAAATATCAAAAATTATTTTGGTCATTAATTCTCACTTTTATATTTTTCCATCTTTTATAAAAAAAATTCAAAAATAGCCCTTAAAAAATATAAAATAGGTTAAAATTCATTTTTTTCATTAATTTTCAACTTTATTTGAATGTGTTTCGTTTTAATCATTTTTTATATGCTTTTTATATTTTAGGATATTTTTTTTGTAATTTTTTTTTTTTAACACTTTTTTGACTACCTGAGACTTACCTGTTTAGAACGGTTGAATCGGCCAGTTTACCGGTTAAGTCCGTTAAATCTCTTCGAGACCATATCCGATTAACTATTCAGGTTCGATTTTGCCAACACTGCCAAACACTCTATAGGCTATGATTAATGTCTGATATTGTTATCGATTTATATGTTAGTCTCCAAATACGTACATATTATACGTTGAGGAGGACGCAAAAGACTCAATTTTCTATCATATCCCTTCAACTTATTGAGTGGTTATTAGTGGTGCAAAAGTTCAGTGGTCTTAGTGACAAGTTTATTCCTATCATTAATTTGAGAGGAGCACTTGTGTTAAGTAATAAGATTTATTTTTACAAAAAAATTATATAAGGTTCGAAGAATGACCTCACCAATTCATCGGAATGGGCTATTATGATGTTACAAGACTTTCTAATTGATCCAAATGTATGAAAATAAATAAATAAATAAGTACCTTTTATATAGTTACCGCATAATGTCTATTTTTTAACGGTAACGAAGGTGAGATGCTTTCCTATTTTCTATTTTCAGTTACGTGACAAAATTTCTTATCTTTTTTTGTTTGTGGCATTCTTGTTAGGGATGGGTTTTTTTCAAACAGAAAGTATATAATGAGACAATTTCAAAGAAGTGTGTTTGGGGAAAATTTGTATCAGCATTGATACGTAGCTAAGTCCGATCAAAGTCCTCAAGTGGGAATTCCACAAGCACAGTGTAGGAAAATTTGGGTGGTTCAAATTCTAAGCACCTGGTTGGATCAGAATTACTTGGTTTTGGTCGGTTTTAGTGAATCAGCCGAGTATTTTAAAAAATTTCAAAAAATTTATATAAAATCTCAAAAAATAAAAGATTTTGTTTGTAAAGCATTTGTTAATGTTTTTGGACAAAACTTGGAAATTGTTTTGATCATTAATACTTATTTTTATATTTTCCTATCTTTTTTTAAAAAAAATAAGAAAAATAAGAATACCTCTGAGCACAAATTGATTATTTAAAATATATTTTTTATTAATTTCCAATTTCATTTAGATATGCTTTGTTTAATCATGCTTTAAATATATATTTTTATGTTTTATTAGATTTTTATATTTTTTTAACACTTTTTTAATAGCTCGTGACTTGCTCGGTTAGGCTGGTTTAACCGGCCAGTTTAATGATTAGGCATGTTGTACTGCTTCCAGCCCCATGTGGGTTAACTATTCCGGTTCGATTTTTCCTACACTACTCATGCGGCAACCCTTCTTGTCGTCTTCTCTTAATGTATGGGGTGATCAGGATCGATTCGAATTGGCAATTCAAAAAAAAAAATAATAGTTAAAATTTAAATAAGGGTTTATGGAGTGACGATTTAAAGGGGACCTAAAGAAATATTGGATATGCTCAAAAAATAGAAAAATAAATACCTTCCTAAGACTGGTCTGGTTTGGTCCCAACCAATTCTAGGTCTGGAATGACGATCAAGGTTTTAGGACAATGAAAAAATGTAATTTGAAAAAAGTAGGCTCTTTTTAATTAAATGAATAAGAAAAAGTGTTCACAATCACGATCCGAAATAACCTAGTTTTAGGACAATGGAAAAATGTAGTTTGAAAAAATAAGTTATTTTAATTAAATAAATAAGAAAAAGTGTTCACAATCATTTGTATCTATTAAATATGGGATTGAGCTGACCTTTCTCAACTTCCAAAAAGTTATTCTCAAAGTTATGTAACACATTCTGTTTGTCTGAGTTATCTACTAGTTATGAGTAATTGTAACTTTGTACCCTAAGTAAATAGTTTCATAGTATGCAATTGTAATAAACAATTGGAAACGCATGCAAATGAACTTATTATTTTACTCTACAATGGTAAGAAACACCCCAAATCATTAGATGTGAAATCTTTATGAAGTTAAAAAAAAATTTCTTTTTGACTTTGAGTATGGTCACTTTATATCATTCAATTTTGTCTACTAAAACAGTTTTTACCTTAAATACTTTTATAGCGTTTTTTGCTTGAGCACTTTCAATAAATAACTTTAAGACATAAAGGAAGATTTTAAATGGGGCTCTTTAATGAAGAGAAAAACAAATCATTTTCAAGATTCCTATTAATCTTTGTTAATGAAAATTCACACTTTAACTCTTGTATGAGGGTACCTACCATAAGAAATTTGATGCGATGATTTTCTGGCAATGCATTGGTTTTCCCTTTCAGTTAGTTTCAACAACTAGAAATTAAATTTAAGATGTAGGGTTGTGAATGTCAACAACTAACCTAATGCAATTGCTACATAGATTCAAAGTTAGTCCTTTATTACGCATCAAATCTCACCTAACCATCAAAGAAAAGAAAAAAAAAAAAAGAATTGACTTAATTTTCTTTTTTATACATTTGTGGTTTGTAGGTGGAACAGTTGGAACCACTTCCACTGTAACATTAATGAGAAGTTGATCCGTGACACCGGTATGAGACCTATCACCTTCTGTTCCTTTCTTTCTCTAATAATTTTATCTCCAATAATTTTATGGGAAGTATACAATAAGATCTTTTATTTTTGTTAATGAAAAATCACAATCCCTCTTGACCGTGGATGTGAAATCAGGCGGCTATAGATGTAACATTGACCAAATTGGGTGTCTGGAGATATATCTTTGATTACGCTCGATGTCCGAGAGCCTTTCACGGACTATGCGTAAAGAAACAACATGTCCCCGATATCCAATTTTAGACCTTATACAGCATGGGGTATTTGTGTAAGTAAGGCCTCATTGTATACAATCCTTGATTCTTTTTTATAATCAATTTATTATCCTTAGGAATTTATTTTGGGATTGTATACAATGAGATCGTTTACCTTTAATATAAGAAGGTCACAATTACTTATAACCATTCGGTATAAAATCTAACAGCTTTGATGAATCACAAATTTCAAGAAATTGTTTTTCAAACTTTGGGCTTAGTCAAAAGAATAAATGCAGCCGCTCAACTTCACATCTAATGGTCAAGATTAATTGTGACTACCTTATACTAAATATAAATTGTTTCATTGTATTATTTTTTTTTGGCAGCTGATGCACTGGTGTATACTGGGCTTGCAACCTTGGGATATACTTACGTTAACTTAGGTGAGGCTGCTAATTAGCATTTCACTTAATCAAATTATTTACTCAAATAATGCCATAATTTTGGTGATAAAAAATTAATCGAGTGTATTTTGCTTATATCAGATGATTGTTGGGGGCAACAAGATAGGGACTCTCAGGTAAGAATGCATGAAACTTCTTGGAATAAATAATGGTTATGTATAAAAAGATTAAAAAAATAAATAAATAAAAAACAAGATTTTTTTAAAAAACTGAAATAAGCACCGGTGATACGAAGACTCGCACCTATTTGTGCTATTGCTTTTGTTAGTTGTTTAAAACAGCTAGCGTTCAAAGCCTCTCCAAGTCACATTTGTTCAAAGTTCAAACATGTAGGTGATAACATCAATTAAATGATGTAATACAGATTACTAATGTGGCCAAATAATTCCGTTTAACCTTGTAAAAGTCATCATTTAAGTTTAATTTCACTTGGGTACCTCTTTAAAAAGTATATTAAAAATAGTCAAATTGCCTCTATTCAAAATTGGGAACCCTAAATAAGCAACGTGATTTTAGCAATTTGGCCTGCTTAAGTGTCCTAAGCCAAATGACTATAAATCTGGTTAGTCAAGGCTAGCAACATGGAACTAGGTTTTACAATAAATAAGAGTGCGGTCTCTTTTTCTTACCTTGACCAACCAAGGGCATTAGGATAATTTATATTGCAATCTTTGAACAACTAGGGATATTATCATCATTTAGCTTTAGCCAATTAGGTGAGGTTAAATTACCAAAGTATCCATTCTTTTTCAGGTTTCTATTCTTTAAATAGGGGCAATTTGATCATTTTTAGCATCTCTTTTAAATAGATACCTAACTTGAGGGATAATGTGGAATGATATATTGAGCAACTTAATGATTTTGTAAGGTAATTTGACAATTTAATTGATGTTTTCCAAACATAAAATAGAGGAAGTGTAATGTAGGTTTAGTCCCTCAGAAGGATCTTATACCACAAATCATCAACCTAGCAACTAATCTAACCTAAAGATGAGCTCTCTATGATTTCTAGAAAAAGCAAGATCCTGGAATTGAACAGAGAATCAGACACTATTTTTCTGTATAATAAGATCCCAATTCAAGCTCAATATAACCTTGGAGAATAAACTTCTAATTTTGTTGTTAGCATACTTTTTTGAGGGATTGAACAAAGCATGTATTTCCAATTTCCAACATGTGGCAGGGCAACCTAGTCCCAAAAGCCTCAACTTTCCCCTCAGGCATCAAGGCTCTAGCTGATTATGTCCATGGGAAGGGCCTCAAGCTGGGAATTTACTCTGATGCTGGGTAAAACCCTTTCAACATTATTAGTGATGAACATGAGTCAAATTAATTTCAACTCTTAAAAAGTAAATTATGCTGAATATATGCTGAACAGAACAATATTTGGGACTTTTGTTGTAATATCTTTGTGGTGGCCTTTGGTATGTTTAGGAAACAAACTTGCAGCCAGACCATGCCAGGATCACTTGGATATGAGGATCAAGATGCAAAAACATTTGCTTCATGGGTAATGTATCATATAAAGGGAAGTAGTCAATAAGGCTGTTTACTTTCGGTATATAACTGTCACAATCACCCCTAACCATCGATGTGAAATTCGGCAATTGGCTATACTATTTTTAATCTGATCGCTTGGGGTATTTGTGACTTCTATGTACCAAAAAAATCCTCATTGCATACAATGGCTAATGGGCTTGGGGTATAATTGTGAATGGAACGTCCTATGGTTTTATCAAAATACCTTTAAGAAATGTGTATTTTACCCATTTGCAACTATTCCAACTTATGATTGATTTTATGGCTTTTGATGGGTATTAAAAAATTAAATTTTAAATATAAGTAGAATGTTAAATAGTTCATCTCTTAAGCGTATTTAGATCAATTTTTCTATTTTTTATACAAGAATGTCACAGTCACCTTTAGCCATCAAAAGTAGAAGCGGTTTAATGTGTGGGTGTGCTACTGACTATGTTCGAAATCTGAAAAAAATTCTTCTTGAATTCTATACAAAGAAATAGCACACCCCATACTGTCAAATTTCACATCTGACAACTAAGCATAATTGTGATTTCTTGTATCAAAGAAACAAACTCATAATATCAAATCCCAAATGCATTTTACTCTAATTTCCTTATAATATAATCTTTATTTTGCAGGGTATTGACTACTTGAAATATGATAATTGTAACAATGACGGCGTAGATCCAAGAGAGAGGTGATTATGTTTACACCAATATAGGAGGTCAAGAGTCCTAACACCCAAAATAACGAGCCTAACATAGAAAAGAAAAGTAAAAATGACCTTCACATGTTATATTTGGAGTGTCCCCCCACCCAAAGAAAGGGCAAGCTTTCTATGCTTCTTCTGCAACGTAAAATTTGTATACTTATCCTTATCCAGCCGTCCATTCTGAATACAGGGCTAAAATTGTCTCAATCACAATGTCACGTCTCTGTAGTATTTAATTTTTAATTTTTTTATATAAACTATTTTGACATCAAATTTTGGACTTCCAATCCTCTATTAAACTCACACTAGCAAAAAATATATATAAAAAAATATTTCCAATAAAATAAAATAACCAAAATACCACTGAAAATTTCAAGGGGTATTTTGATTTTTATATTTTATCGAAAAATTATTTCTAATATATTTTATAGGTGCGTCCCAATGAAAAGATGCCACGTACCAAATTTCATATTCATACAATTTACACAAAAAAAACTAAAAATAAAATACTTTGAGACATTGGATCTAAGATCAAACGATGAGCGCTCTTGATCAAAATTGGACGGCTGGATGGTAGGGGAAGCATAATCTTCTATGCTGTAATGGAAGTATAGAAACCTTTCCCCCAAAAAAAAAAACCCAAAAAATAAAAAAAAACCTAAAAAAAGGGAAAAAAGAGAAGAAGCTCATTCTATATATATATATATATATAAAAAAAAAAATGGAAGTGCATTCTAGTATTGAAGACGTTTTCACCATGTACTAAGTCTTTCTCATTTCTTTTGCCAATCAATCTAGGTACCCCAAGATGAGCAAAGCTCTACTCAACTCTGGGAGGTCCATCTTTTTCTCCTTGTGTGAATGGTGAGTTACAGAGTTTTCTCACTTCTTTTTTTCCCCTTTTTAGATCTAACAAGAAATTTGGACCACTGTACATAGCCCCCCGTTTCATTTTTTGGGAAAGCATTTCATAAGGCTGCGGCGCCCAAATCTCCCCGAGAAAACTTGTGGCGCTGGAGACTGAAAATTCATCATCAGTACTTCAACAAACATGAATCTAAAAATAATGATTTTAGGCCCTAAAAGTGGCCTATGTTGTAACATTTTCCTAAATTGTCAATTTTGAGTCGTTCTAGATTTGTCAGATTTGCATCAATTTTGGAGCTCCGTTTTGTCCGGTTAGGGCCATAAACAAATTTATAAGCCATCATGTTGTTTTCCCCCTACTAGATCTGAGTTTCCTGTCATGATTATGAGATACATCTATATGAAGCCGCGGCCTTACCAAATTCACACCCCTAATCTTTGAAGAGACTTAGTTCTGAATTGTTGCTCTTCACTTTTAATTTGCTCCTTCAAAGTGTAGGGGAGACCAAAACCCAGCGACTTGGGCACCAGCCATTGGGAATAGCTGGAGAACAACGGGAGACATCAAGGATGAATGGTCAAGGTATACATATATATATATGTACACTAAATTTGGAAAATATTTTCATTTTTGTAGTATGGAAGTGATGGAGATAAGCAAGCACTTTGACATGGTATTTAACTCTTATTTTAAAATCTTATATTTCATCCATGATCAAATCTCAAAATTTGGCCGCCTTGTGATTGTTTAATTTGGTTTTTTTCTCACTAGTATGACTAATACAGCCGATTCAAATGATGCATGGGCCAAGTATGCCGGACCAGGAGCTTGGAACGGTGAGTCAATTCCCAAAGTGAATAAGCCCCCACTTACTTACCCAAAAACAATATATATATATATATATATAATCAAATTTGAGCTTACTTCAAAAATTTCGTTAGAAGAGGTTGTTTTGATTTCCAAATATCTTCAAATTGATCATCTCGACGTCAAGATACATGGACATGAGAAAAAAAAGGATTTCAAGTTTTGAAAATAGTATATTTTGTAATGCATTTTTTGACCGTTAATTTTCAAGGTTTTGAAGTTTTCATAAATCTATTGATCCACACTATTTTTGAAGTTTTAAACTTTATAAATAAATATAAAAATATATTTTAAGGCTATCACAAAGATTTCTAGTATTGAAACCACATTTCTTCACACTATTTGAAGGTAGGCTCTAATTTGATTGTTTAGAGTCTAAGCTCCATACAAACTCACCTTTTATATATATATATATATATATATATATATATATATATGGACCCTACCATTAAATCACAACTCTATTTCCAAATGATGCAGACCCTGACATGCTAGAAGTTGGGAACGGGGGCATGACAACGGAGGAGTATCGTTCGCATTTCAGCATCTGGGCTTTAGTTAAGGTTGTATTTTTTAAAATTTATTTTAATTCTTTTTTGTCTATCAACTTTAAGATGGTATTTATGTTTGGATTTCTTTTCCCCTTGAAAATCGATCAACGGGGCATTGTAAGGGATTGGGTGACCCTCATGGTCCACTGAGATTCAATCCCACACGGCACCAACGTTAGCGGAGATATCCAGCCATTTACTCTTGATCGAACGGTTGTGATTGAGCAAACGACAATATCATTCATTAATTATGTTCAAACAAATGCACCTAGCACAACCCAGTGACACTGTTCTTGACTCGCTCCTAGCCATTCGACCAAAATTGGATTACTATAGATCTCTAGACTATAATTTAAATTATATGTTTATGAAGACACAGAAAAGTTTCTCCAATTTAATAACTTTAAACCCCGGTAACTAAAGTTTTGAAAATTGGGAATTTTTTTAATTGTCCCTCTCTAAACGAAATAAACCAGTATAGATTTTTGTGTATGTGAATGCAGGCTCCACTTTTGATTGGATGTGATGTCGGGTCAGCCTCCAAGGAAACTTTGGAGATCCTTAGCAACAAAGAGGTCATCGCCGTCAATCAAGGTAATCAATGCTGAATAGTAAATTTTTCACCCTCTATTAAATTTTCCAATGCACTTTATCTTGGCACATAGTTGACATGTTGATACTACAAATAGATAAGCTTGGAGTTCAGGGAAAGAAGGTTAAAAAGGAGGGAGATCAAGAGGTACCATTTGCTTATATGAAATCAGTGATTCAAAATTCATCAATCCAACTCGAAATTGGCCGAGTCAGATCAGAACCAGGAGGACGGGGATTCCAGATGAAAAATCTTAGAATTGCCCGATCTCAATGTTCTACTTTATTTTATTTTTTTTTGGTTTTCTTAATAAATGTTAGTCCGATTCCACTCGAGAATCATTCGAGTCAGACAAAGAGGATCAGAATCGGACCCTATTGAGGCAAGGACGATTCCAATTTTTTAAACACGGTTGTGGAGATGTAATCCTCTATAATTTTGATGATTTCTTACCTTTCATTTCGTTTGTTTGATATAGGTTTGGGCTGGTCCACTTAGTGGTGGAAGGGTGGCCATGATCCTTTGGAATAGGGGCTCCTACCAAACTTCTATAACTGCCAAGTGGGAGGACGTGGGCTTAAAATCAACAGCCACTGTTGATGCGCGAGATTTATGGGCGGTTAGACATGATCTCTCTATTTCTCTCTTTTGGTGTGTATGTGTGTCTGTTTGTGTGTGCGGAAGAAAATTATATAAAGTGGCAATTTTATACTTGCGAACACGAAGAAACAAAGGGAAATAACATAATAAGACAGTCTTGTCTGGTGCAAGATAATGAGGCAGCTAAGCTAAGGTGAGGTGTGTTATTGGCGATCGCTCAAACTTAGAGAAAATTTTCCTCAAAACAAATTGCAGAGAAATGGCATACACTAGTTGTATGGTTTTGGGCAATCATGAGTACCTTTACAAGTGAAAGATAACAGTCCCATTGTATGCAAACCCACATAACAAATAACAAACTCATTAAAAGGAATAGACATGAGCGTCTTTCTGAAAATCAGTGCAATGATCGGAAAAAAAAGATCACCAATCCATGCTTGGGAACATTTTTTGGGTTCCAAATAGCTTCCTGACATAATGTAGATTCACTCAATGTTCAGAAATGGCTCAATATTGATCATTAATTGTATGTTTGCATGCTCAGCTGAACTTGTTCACTCGTGTTTTGTTAGATGGCACATACATTCCCTCTTAGAGAAGTTTAAAATTCAAATGGCTCAATATTGCTCATTAATTGTATTCCCTCTTAGAGACGTTTAAATGCAAATGGCTCAATATTGCTCATTAATTGTATGTTTGCATGCTCATCTGAACTTGTTCACTTGTGTTTTGTTACCAACTTGTGATGTTCCCTCTTAGAGAAGTTTAAAATGCTACTTATACCGATAAAATTTTAAGAAAACTCCCCAATTTCATATGAAATGGCATAAACTTATACTATCTCTTGTGCTGCAAAATTTCAAATATAGGCAGGATTTCATATTCCTCCCCACAACCCAAGAAATTATTAACGTTTATATAGGTTTGCAGCCTTAAAATGTAGAATTAAGATGCAGCTAAAAAATCATCATAAAATATTATTTGATGTTGGAAAACCTTTTAATTGATCATCTCGGAATCAAGATGTATAAATATAAAAAAAAAGAAAGAAGAGAATTCGAGTCTTAAAAATAGTATATCTTGCAACACATTATCTGGACCATCCATTTTTAAAAAATTTATATATTTATAGATGTACTTGATTTGACCTACTTTTAGAGTTTAAAATTTTTATTATTAGATATGAAAATGGATTATTCGGCCATTCTAAGAATTTACAGCAAAAACAAATTTATGATAAAATTTGGAGGTGTGCCTTAATTTAATGGTTTAAAGTTCCAACCTTATGCAAACCACATCCTTACTAAAATTAAAAAGTTTTTATTTTAAAATATTTGCCATTAGATATAAGGAAGCCACAATTAGCATTGACCATTGGATATAAATTGGTTAGTTAGAGGTATCCATTGACTAAGCTTAATGCCCAAATGAAGATTTTCAAACTTCATGGCACACCTCAAATTGTCAAATTTTACATCTGACTGCTATAATTATTTATGACCTTCTTGTATCAAAATAAATGGTCTCATAGTATTTAATCCCAAAATTATCAAAATATTGTCACTCTTTCAGGCAACTCCATCTAATTAATCTTGGTTTCATCAGGGTTCGATGGTCGGACGGCCCAGATTTACTTTTTCTTGCATTTTGAAATTTTATGCTTGCCTCAACACAACTAACAGGTAATTTACAATTTTTGCAGCACTCAACAATGTCATCCATCAAGGGCCAATTGACTGCCACTGTAGATTCTCATGCTTGCAAAATGTATGTTCTCACACCAGTCAATTAGTGGAGGAGCATAAACCCTAACCAAAACATAAATTTCAAAGATAAAGATGGAAAATAAATCATCTGTCCCCCTCCCCCTATGTAGGTGGTCTTCATGTTAAACCCATTAAAGAAAGCACTGCTGTGTATGTATTTTATACTTGAAATAATGTTTGAAGTGGGCAAGAAAGATGGACACAAGTTATGTAGAATGGATTTGTACAGCAATTTATATGCAATGAATCATTGGGGAGTTCCAAGAGCTATGTGTTTTTCATTTGATTTCCTTTTTCCTTCTTTTTTATACATTAAGGGTTTGTACATGAATAATTATTTCAAACATTAGGCTCAAGATTCTAAATCAAGGTTTTGAAAAATGCCAATCCAGATTGGAATCGTTCATCCAAATGCCAACGAGAGATCAGTTATTATAAGTGTGAGGTTCTAAACAATCAAATTAAGGCGCACATCAAAAATTTCATTAGAAGATGTTGTTTCGATGCCCAAATATCCTCAAATTGACCATCTCGACTTCAAGATGCATGGACAGGAGAAAAAAAAAAATGAATTTCAAGTTTTGGAAATAGTGCATCTTGCAATGCATTTTTGAACCGTCAATTTTCAAGACTTTCAAGTTTTCATAGATATACTTGATCTACACCATTTTTTAAGCTTTAAATTTTATAATTAACGATGAAAATATATTTTAAGGCTATCATCAAGATTTTCAGTATTGAAACCACGTTTCTTGATACTATCTGAAGGTGCGTTTTACTTTGATTATTTAGAGCCTCGGCTCTATACAAACCGCACCCATTATTTAATATCTTTTGGTTTAATTTTAAAAATATCTATCAAAAGACACATTATTGAGTTGGAATGGTACAAGTGATAAAATATTGAATAGTCGATCGCTTGTTGGTATTTTGACAACTTTCCCCGGTAAAAAAGTGTGGCGTTTTAAATAAAGAATAATTATTTCATGCGGGCTGGACCGCATTCGTACAGTCCAGAGGTATAAATCATCCATATTAAAGATGGTTGCAAACAGGTGGTCCACCTAAAAACAATTATAATTAACAGTCCAAATACTTTATTGATAAATTATTATTTCTAGTTTTTAAAAGTTATTTATTTATTCATATCCATGATCTCCATGTTAAACATTATATATTCTCTAAAAATTGGGATCAAATTATATTTAAACAAATATATTTATTGCCAAGTCCGCATTTGTACATGTGCGGGCTTGGCCGCATGCTAACCACTTTTCTTAAATAATTTTCTTTTTATCAAATTGCCCATAGAGATGAATAGTTTAACACCCTATCCATATATTTCAATTTAATTTCAAAAGACTCATAAATAGTTACAAAACGGTAAAATATTAGATGGTTCAACTTTTATAAGTATTTTGATAAATTATTTAAAATGATAATCTATAACTTAAAAAAATCTAACAAATAAAAATATAGGACACGGTTTTGGTTAGTCAACCGACTCACCTATTACCATGCTGTCCGTTATTTATCTAACTATAAGATGAATGTCAAAAAATGTTACAACACGGTGAAGAAAGTAATTCAAAAAATAACATTTATATTTTTGAAAAAAAAAATCCAAATTTAGATTTGATTGAGATTATTGAACTATAAAATTTTGAATCGACAATACATCTTTGAGATATATTTTGTAGGGAGAACCTACACAAGAATAGTGTGAGTCTGTTGCCTCACTAAACACTTTTCCAAAATATAACAGCATGCTCATTTAATTAAATAAGGGTGCAGTTGGCATACGGATCCATTTGGAGCTCTAGAGGTAAGGTACGCCTTCAAATTTTATCATAGTATATAATTTTAATGTAAAATGTTCTCAAGATTATCTCAAAATCTATTTTTATATCTAATTATAAAATTTTAAATTTGAAAAATGGTTAAAATCAAGTAGATCTATAAACATATGAAAATCTTGAAAATGGACGGTGTAGATAATATGTTGTAAAATGCACTATTTCTAAAACTTAAAATCTTTTTATTTTTCATGGTCATAGATCTGATGTCGAGATGATCAATGAAAGGGTTTTTCAACATTGAAACTACTTTTTCCGATGGATTTTTTAAATGCAATCCTTTGCTCTACTTTAAAAGGTTGCAACCTTATATAAACTTTTTCCATTAAATAATTCTAAAAAACCCCTACCCTCTAGTGGCAATTAGTGTCTCCATTACCTAGTTGTCTCTAAGCTTATCAACCTCACGTTCTTTATCCGTCTTTCTATTTCTTCCCTTATAAAATTCCATTTTTTTCCATTCCTCAAGCCTAAAATATTATTCGATGTTATTACCTCACCTTTTTACACACACACTCTCTCTCTTCTCTTGTAAATCTCACATTCTTTCTCTCCTCCCTGTAAATCTCAAATCGTAAACCTCATTTCTCTTTCTTCCCTCCTTATAAAACTCACATTTTTTATAACTCAAGTTGAAAAAATAGTGAGTAAATCTTCGACCTCACATTCATTTTGCTACCTCTCTCTCACCAATAAAGCTTATAACTCTCTCTCTCTCTCTCTCTCTCTCTCTCTCTCTCCTTATAAATTTCAGATTCATTAGCCTCCTTCCTTTTTCTTCCCTTACAAACGCACCCTTTGCATTCCTCAAAATAAAAAAGTAGTCACTAAAACTTACGGATCTCACATTCATTTGCGTTCATTTTACTTACTCTCTCTCTCTCTCACCAGAAAACACTCAGTTAAGCTTACAAACCTGAAAATAGTCACGGAAGGTCAAAAACCTCACATCCATTACTCTCTCTCCCTCTCTCTTACAAAACTCACATTCATTACTCTCTCTCTCTACTCTCTCCCCTCCTACTTTATAAAGGAAAATTGTTCTATGTGGTGGGGGACATATTTCTACTATTTCTTTTTTCTTTCTTTTTTCATGTTCATGATCTACATGTTTGAGATTATATGCCCTTAAAAATTCGGTTCAAAAATCCATTTCTACATGTACTCATGGAGGCCACGTCCTTTTATTAAACCAACCGTTTTTATCCCCAAAACCAAAAAAGAAATCATCTGTTGCAGACTTGCAGTGCACGCCTATCCCCCAAACCAGGTGGCTACTATCTTAACTTTGAAGCATTCTTCTCGACAAAGTCTCTGAGACCTGGATTTTTTAGCCATGACTTTTTCTTTCTCTCTTTCTTATAATATATGTTTTCCTCTCAAAAACTCTCCTCCCTTATACCCCCCCTCCCTGTCCCTCCAACCAATCCCATTCTTAATGCCTGAAAATACCCGCAACCCATCAAACTCGAATCCCTTCTATCCGCCCAATATCAGAGTTTCACAGAGTCCCCAAATTAGGGTTAGGGCTCCAAAGAGAATCAGTTGCAGACGAACCACTTCGGATATGGAGTACCAAGTTGACTGTGTAGGCACTGGCCAAGACGTAGAGTGCGTTATGAACTCTGAAGCTGAGGAGCTGATGAAGAAGGACACGTCCAGCTTCGAAGTCGAAGGAAATGGAGAAATGGGTTTTGGTTCTGAAAGTTCAATTGTTAATGGGGTATTGGATACTCTCTTGCTGATCTCTCCATTCTTCTTTTGGGGAACAGCTATGGTCGCCATGAAAGAGGTTTTGCCAAAAGCTGGGCCTTTCTTTGTTGCTACAGTGAGGCTAATTCCATCTGGCCTTTTATTGATTGGGTTTGCTCGGTTCACAGGAAGGAAGCAACCTTCAGGGATTTGGGCATGGATTTCAATTGCATTATTTGGATTGATCGATGCAACTTGTTTTCAGGTGGGCAAAATGTAAGTTCGCTGCCTAAATTCATAAGACTATTACGGGGAAATTTTATGGAATATATGAGCTGCAATTTGAAAATTCATCTTCTTTTTTATCATCAACAGTTCTTTCCTACCTTCCCCTTGCTTTCTTTAGCAAAGAATTCGGTCTCATTTTTATGGATGGAGGTTTTCTATCTTTGTTAATTTTCTGTGGACTCTTTAGAGAATTCCATAATTTCGTGTTGGTTGTGAACACCGTAAAATTGTATTGATCACCAGTTGACATATTTGGATCCAATTGGTTGGAAAATTTCCACTCGACAAGCTTCATAAATGTTGCAAAATATCATATTTTTCTTGTTGTAAAGATTGAAGACAACTTGTTCAGCTTAATTTGCAGATGGTAATTTGCAGGCATTTGGTCCAAACGACCAAATATAAATGGCCACCATTGGAATTCAAAGATGAGTTGTATGATTTTACACATAACCCATTAATAATCGCATACATCGTTATTTTTTTCCAAATACTTTGGAATTATTTTGTAATTTTGCCGATGTCCAATTTACACAGTAGTACAGTAGCATTACTTATCTGGCACCTCATATATATATTTTTGGATACTTTGCAATGGTTTTGCACGTATCTCCAATTTTCAAGTTGAACTGTAACTTTTTAATCCTGATTCTTGTGACAAATGGTTAAGGTTCTGTTAGTTAGGTTAATGGTTTCCAGATTGAGACTCTCCAGTGATATACTTGTTTTGGCTATGGACAAAAGCTTCATTAGAGGGTGTGAATGTTTCTACATTGAGAGTCTTCATTGATATACTTATTTTGGCATCGGGACAGGGGTTTCTCGCAGAAGGCCTGCAGAAGACTTCCGCAGGGCTCGGAAGTGTACGTAATTAGTTCTCTACCCCCTCCCAACTTCTCTCGCTTTTTTTTTATCAGCAAGATAATTAAATTTCCTTAATTGTTTGGTTATTATGGAAGATTTTCTTTGATATATTGGTTTTTATATGCAGGTTATCATAGATTCACAGCCCTTAACGGTGTCAATACTTGCAGCCTTGTTGTTTGGTGAAACCATCGGTTCCGTTGCAGCAGCTGGGCTTCTGTTAGGTGTTATAGGTCTTTTGCTACTTGAGGTTGGTTTCTAGTCAATTGTTTATTGTGATGAGATCAATTTTTTGCTATAAAATACATACTTTCGTTTTTCACACTTGAATTCTCATCCATGTCGTTATTTTTCTTGTACCGAGTATACATGATGTAATGGCTTGTGCGGTACATGAATGAAGTATACTCTTGCATCAAGATGATTAATTAGAATACAATGAAAAAAGTCAATCTGTAATTGTAGTTCTGTGTGCTGCTTCCAGCCAGGATTTGCAACAGGATTATAAATTGAAAATGATTTTCTGATTTTATTAACTTCACCTTTTGATATGGTTGTCGGTTGAAATCTATTTGCAAGGTTGAACTCAACCAACTCCACCATCGTCGGTGCTTCGATAAATCTGTTAGATAATTCTGTAAACAAGCTATGGGCTACTGAATGGCAGATAGTGAACCTACAGCTGCATTAAAATCGTATTCACATTAATATAAGTGCAATGAATATCTGTCTCACCTTTGTGCTATGGTAAATGCTTCATAACAGTGTAAAACAACCTGTACCGGCCTACCAAACTGATCAACGGAACCAATCCGGATCAAAACCGGCAGGTTCTCTTGGGGAATTTTTTATAGAAAGCAAAAATAAAATAAAATAACAGTTGGAATGGCCGGTCTGAAGATTCCAATCAAAAACAAAATTTTCTTTTTTTTTAACAATCTGCGGAATGGAAACTGACCTACCCTTTGGGTCTCCCCTCCTTGAGAACAACCTTCCTTTTTTGAGCCTATTCATAAAGAATTCAAAAAGAAGTTTAAAAAGGAAAAGCACAATGTTTATTTGTAAGTTTTAAAAGAAAAAAGAACAAAAAGGTTTAGACTCAGACCAGTTACTCATCAGTTCTGAGCCATCTCGAACAGTTCCGAGCCGGCTCGCTGGTTTTTTATTCACTGCTTCATAACAAAGCAAAAATAGAAACGATAGAAATATCTCATTGAATCTCCCTGGTGTTATTTAATTAGATGAAGTAGATGTTTGCTTGATGAAATTATATCCAATGAACCATGTCAAATGATCGTCTTCACCATTCAATGAAATGAACGTTAACAGAGAGAGTGGGACCCACCATTGGTGTCATGGCCTGTACTGGTGGTTCCCCTCCATCTCCATTATTCATTATGTCACTAGACCGCAATTACCATAACGAACTTTGCTTATAAATCTATCAGATTAAATTCTTCAATGAATCTCCTTGGTGTTATTTAATTTGATGAAGTAGAAGTCTGTCCTTAGTGAACATCACCATCCAATGAAAGGAACAGTTGTGGATAGAAGGGGAACCCCCATTGATGTCCTGGCTGCACTGTGGGATCCACTCTCTCTCCATCACTGTTCATCATGTCACTGGATGGTGATGACCACATTGGACTACAATTTTACACAGTCCAGATTATAGCATACTTCCTCAAAACTTTAAACAGTTTCTACCCCTCTCTAATTCCTTTCACCAGGCTCCTGCACTCTCCTTGCAAGGTGACGATTCATCGCTTTGGGGCAGCGGAGAATGGTGGATGCTCCTTGCAGCTCAAAGCATGGCAGTGGGAACTGTCATGGTCCGCTGGGTGTCCAAGTACTGTGACCCTGTCATGGCCACAGGATGGGTAGGTCCACTTAAGTTATATTTTCGCTTCATCATTGGTTAATTCTCATTGCTTTCCTTTAGCATTTGCATTTGATGAGTGAATGCATTTTTCTCACAAGGAAGAGCCACAAGAAATTGAATGTTCTCATTTCTTTAAATTTGTGATGCAAGTAGCTCCTACTTGTCCAATCTAGACTGGGGATCTCGCGTAAAATATAAAGAAATGAGAGTAAGTACATGTAACGGCAAAGGGGGGAGAAAAAAATAAAAAGATGAAAAAATAGTTCCAGACCCCTACATGTAGTCAATCCTTGATTAATGGTGAGAATTTTCTTTTAGTCCCCTCGGTGGTGTGGATATCTTTTTGATCGCCCTTGAGCTTTTAAGTCTCCAATTTCAATTCTAATGATGGCCATGATTCTACTTTCTTTGTATGCTTTTATGAATGGTCTTGTGAATTTGAGTATATCAAGACAAACAAGTTTCTGTTTCTATTACAGCACATGGTTCTTGGGGGCCTTCCTCTTCTGGTTATCTCCATGCTTAATCATGATCCTGCTATCAGTGGTAGTCTTAAGGAGTTTACTCTGGGTGATATTGGGACACTCGCCTATACCTCTGTGTTTGGAAGTGCTGTCAGTTATGGTGTTTACTTCTACAATGCTTCCAGAGGTCATCTCTCAACTATGAGACTGTTCGCCTTTTTGTTTTCGTGGATCAAAGAAGCAAACTTCATTTCCTTTTACTTAATATCTGATGAGTAATGTGGATTGACTTCTTTCTATCATGAATTATTAGTGCATCTATGGTTTTTCTTCTTTCTTTGGGAAGGCATACTGTAATCCATAAGGCAATGAAAAACGGCCTATTGGGGTCACCATTGTCCATTGAGCTGATGGAGTTTAATGGATGACGATTGAGAACGAGTGGGAACAATCGTCGGGGGTCATGTCCATTTCTGATGGTCATCACCGTCCACTTCATTGAATGGTGTTCTCAGCAGAATACGGGTTTTCATAGCCCATTTGGATTATAGTAAGACTTTCCATTCCTTTTTATTCGTGTAGAATAAATATGGATTTCAATCCTTGAGAGGCCGAAATAAATACACCCAGGCACTTGCAACTGGTCTGTGGCAACCAATACAATGCTTTGTGCCTTTGGACACATCCATTGTGTATAGAGATGCTTGATGTAATAGAATGACATTGCTTAAACACTGCAGTAGTTTTGATCATTGTTGCTAACCGAATTCATTTGAATCTGAGATGGAATTCTAACTTGAATCAATCAAGGCACCCTCCATTTTATTTTTGAAGAAATATAGTCCTCTCCAACATACTAAATTGTTAATGACTTTTACAAAGGCAGAACTTGCTTTCCTTTATTTTCATTAACACGTTTAGGAAAGATCGAAGACTGGCTTAAGCTCATTTTTGGGACTAATTTTCTGCAAAAATTTCTTGCAGGTAGTTTGACAAAGCTCAGCTCCCTCACATTTCTAACGCCAATGTTTGCCTCTCTTTTTGGGTGAGACATCTCTCCTAATTCAGAACCATGCTGAAACTTGTGTTTTTCAACATGCTCTCTCAAAAAACAAAAAAAAATTGGTGTTAAATTCCTTACTTTCATTCATATGCTATTGGACACAAAAAAGGGGCACAGTATACAGAACTCTCTCTCT